TTAATAATAATAAATAAATAATATAGATATTATAGATAAATAATAAGATATATTTTTATATTTAGGTGTGTTTGATTATTCGAAAATTTGTTGATACTAATACAAAAATTTAAAAAAAAAAAAAAATCAATATATGTAATTTTATTATTATAATAATATGTATATGAATGTATATAAATAAATATATTTAATCGATATTTCATTAAAATATTAATTTGTTAATTGACACGAACTTTGTAGAAAAGGTTTCGTGATATATTATTAAATTAGTTCTATATAGATAGATAGATAGATAGATAAATAGATAATTTATTTCTAATAATACACAGGTGTATCTCGAGTATTAATATGGATCATTTGATAATCTACTAGTAGAGCGTTAGAAATATGATACTCGTTCAAGTGTGTTTCAATTTTCTATATCTTAATTTTATCTATTCACCGATAAGTTCAATCCTTTTGAAATTGTTTAATATCTTTAACGATTTGTTATACATAATTATGAAAATATTCAAACTAATTTGTGACGCATTTAAAAGATGAAAGATGAAAGAAAAGACAAGAAAAGAAAAAAACAACAAATCACTCACGTGATTTGGCATTGCGAACCATTTTAACGCAACACCCATTGCAGGTCATCAATGGTGGCTGATCTCTCGGTAATGCTGTATAATTAAATGGATCCTTGCATCGTAGATCTGTCCAAGAATCGCATTCGTAGCAATAAACCGAGCGTGCTGCGAAATATATCAACAATCTTATTTCAATATCAAATATCGTAAGATTTAGAACGTGCAATTTCTTCTTCTTCTTCTTCTTCTTCTTCTTCTTTGATTTTATTAAACCGTACCAATCGTAAAAAAAAAAAAAATACGAATTTAACACGTTCCGTGGCAAACCGTTTTTACCTGTCTTGTCACTCAGATCATTTAATTTTGCTTTAACAAAAAATCCAACCAATTTAATTATTATTCCCCAATATAATTTTAATAATTATTTATTATAATAATGAATATATATATATGGTATTTTAATAATTATATTAACCCTTTCGCTCCGGAATGGTTGAGACAAAATATAATCGCTGGATACGGAGCGTTTTGTTTTTTCATATTTGATAGTGTATTTTTGAGGAACGTATATATACGCTCTTCATACATTATTGGTCATTTTTCTAGGACGTATTTTTCTAGGGCCATCGGAGTGAAAGGGTTAATATTATATAAATTAATATTATAATTATTAATAATATTAAAATTAATATGAAAATTATAATATTATTAATATTATATAAATGTTATTTTAATAATTATTTATTACAATAATTAATAATTGTAAATATAATAATTAACAAAAACTTATGTGCTTTGTTCTATACTGCATTTTGTATAATGCACATAAATATTTTATAATAGTAATATATTTAATTTGTTATAAACATATATTTTAAGCGTATTAAATAAATATGTCAAATGGTAAGTGTGTACCATCAATGGTACACGTGGCACGGAACGTGTTAAATACGAACAAACTAACGAACGAAATAAAAAAAAAATATATATATATATTTATAAAATAAAGGAACAGAACGAAGAGATCGCACGTGAAATCAAATCAAATAATCCATGGTTTTCTTTCTTTCTTTTATTTTATTTTTTTTTTTTTTTAGCTACCCTTAAAACGTCCCTTAACTTTTCTTTCTTACAAAAATAAACTGGCTATTTAATAAATATATATTTTTTTGTAACTCCTGCTTTCAAAGTTCAATTTTTAAACCTTGCCTAGCAACCGTAAAGTCGCATATTCCCGTGATGGTGGTAACTATCTAGTAACTATGGTTGTTACTATAGTAGCGTGCGAGAAAGTAGTACTTTCCAACCGATTAACCATGCGGGAATGAAAATTTTGGTAACTATGTAGTAACTATGATTGTTACTATAGTAGCGTGCGAGAAAGTAGTACTTTCCAACCGATTGACCGTGCGGGAATGAAAATTATCTATCACTTTAATTAAAATTAAAAAAAAAAAAACTTGTTAAAAATCTACGTGAACAATGAATGAATTAACGAGACCTTGTACGCCTGCAGACCTAGTATCTGCTGCTAAAAATGTT